TTAAATACTTCGACTGAACAAGAGTAAAACGTAGAAGTAATGACTGACGAAGAAGTATTGAATAAATCCAATTCACAAAACAAAAAACTACGTTCGTTTTAAAGTCTGCGAAAATGAGTTTCGAATACAAAAATAAAATTATTTAAAGACAATATATTGTAAATAAACTTTTTTTGTAATTATATTTAAACATAAACGTATAAGATTATATATTGTATTTTATATAAAAGATTTCCTATTACCCAGAAACACACGATGATTATTTGAAGCCAATATATTTTGAAGCTCTTGACACAGTTATTAATGCAATAGAAGATTGATTCGAACAACCAGCATTCAAGAAGCTTGCGAACTGTTTGCCATTAATAAGACGGATCTTTAAGGAGTTTAAGGTTTTCGAATCTGATTTCCATGGAGGAATCAAATCAAAAGTGAGCTTCATCTCATACCAACTAATCTCATACCTTTAAAGTAGCAATCAATAAAATTATAGAAAAGCATTTTCTCTAAGATTGTAATCTAATACCCCTATCTCTCTAATCCTATCTATCTAATCCCCTATCTCTCTAATCCTAATCATTTTCTCTAAGATTGTAATCTAATACCTCTATCTCTCTATCCCTATTTCTCTAAGATTGTAATCTAATACCCCTAGTCAAAAAGTACCATAGGATCCTATAAGAATATGGAACAAAAATATTTTTTAGATTTAAACCCATTAAATTGAAACACATAAATTAAAAAGTGTTTATAGTGTATAAAACTATCAAAGTTTTGTCTATTTTTTGTTTGTTTTTGTCTCAAAATCCTACTAAAAGTTTACTTTAGACCATCAAAAAGCGTTTTCCAATTATAACTCGCCATAGCAACGCACTCTGAGAATCAAAATAGAATTAAAATATAAAATTTTTTATAACTAATTACACTAGTGAGAAAGCAAAATTTAGAATTTTATAGTTTTCAAAAAAAGTAGGGTGGCCCTAGGTATTTGAAGTACTTTATATAAAACATTTTGGGACAATAAAATTTAATGGAGTTTAATTTGATTTGTTTACTAGTTTGACACATTTTTCAATATATTATTATTATTATTATTTTTATTTTATTTGCCGTATAATATTATTTACATAAAGATTTATAATATTATACGGGCAGAACTTAAAGAAGATTGTAACGACCACAAAGCCCTTACCAAAATTATATTTTCTTCTACAATAAAAACATCTATATACTATATAAAATAAATATATACCGAGAATATATAATCAGTAATTATATCATAAATTTGATATTCTACATACTTCAGAAGTGAAACTCAAAATAAAACATAACAAATCAAAATGCAGCATAACTGAAAATATTTTTTTGAAAAAATCAAAAAAAATCAAGAATATTTTTTGTTAAAAAAATGTTTTTTTTTTTTATTGTTTGAAAAAGGAATAGGTAAGTTTAGATAAAAAAACAAAAATAGGCCGAGGAAAGGTCCACGATAAGATATGCAAAATTGAGCTTGTTTATTATTGCAAAAAGGTTTTTCTAAAATGCTATTATTATTAGGTACGTTATATTTGTTTTAAGGTTTAATTTTGTAAATGTTTACAAATACATCGGGGGACATAAGTTCTTTACATTTGTATATAAAACACAAAACATTAAATACATTTAGTTGATAAACATATAAGACGTCCATTTCTTTAAAAAGCGGTTCAGAGTTCGAAAAACGATTTTAAAATTTATTATGTGAGCTGCGTGTTTCTGATGCCGATAAAGAGATTTAAGTTTAGTTTTATGTGTACTTCCCCAAATAATATTTGCATAATTGATATGACAGTGAATAAAAGAGTAATATAATTGCGTTAATTGCTTTTTGTTTAAAATACCTAGATTTGTATAGAATTCCAATGTTTTTTGCAACTTTATTTGAAATATTATGGATATGTGATTTTCTTCAACAAAAACTCTTAAAAATTTTGTCACTTTTTCACTTTTTAGGATGACATTGTCTATAAAAAGATTAGGCATATTTACAGGCAGTATCTGTTTTTTATAATTTGGATGGAAAAGTATCCTTTTTTTTTCAATGTTTAAATATAGCCTATTTTTTTTGAACCAAATTGAAATTTTTTTAAGGTGGTTATCAGGTAAAAAAAATAGCGATTTTTGTGAAAAAATGTGTTTTTTAGTTTATCAGCCAACTTTGTTTAAAATTTAATTGGCTTTTTAACCATATATAACATGATATGGGTTAATTAATAAAAAAATGTAAAAAAATTGTTTTAGTTGGTAAGAGTAACAAAAATTTACTTAACAACCGCATAGCAACCAATAATTTTTTATAGATATATTACCCAAAGACCTAGATTTAAACAATTATTTCTTTTCATGGGTCTGTATAATTAACTAAACTTTTGAACCAGAGTTATTGTCTTGCTATTAAAAGTATTCTTAAAGACACATTCTTGGCACTACGGTCAGATGATTTGTTATCAAGATGCCTGGATGGCGCAACACAAAATCCAAATGAGGCTTTCAACCAGATAATCTGGAAAAAGTGTCCAAAAAATATTTTTGTTACTAAAAAGGTACTAGATCTTGGTGTTGCTTCAGCTGTAATAAATTACAATGATGGTTTGAGAGGTTTCACAAGAATTTTTGATTATTTGCAGCTCTTGCCTGGAAGTTTTATGATCCAAGGATCGTGGAAGAAGGACGTATCAAGAGTAAAGAACACGATTAAAAATTCAACTCCAAAGCAAAAAAGGGCTAGAAGGAAAAGGAGATGTATCAGGAAGGGTTATATTGATAAGGAGAAAGAAAAAGAGGGAGTAGACTCTTATATTACAGGAAATTTTTAATTAATAAATTGTTTTTAAACTTTGAAGCTTGATTTCTCAATTGTTTGTTTTTGCCTGACTGCAATAAGCGAATCATTCATATCTTTTTAACCAGATATGCAATTGAGTTCAAATTTTCAGGGTTGTTTCTTTATAGATAGAACTGCAATAGCTTACTAGAACTAATCTTAAGCTTGTTTCCATTTGAATATATTCATATTTTACCTTTTTTTTTTGTATCAATAATTTCCGTTAAAATTGAAAAAGCTGCCATTTTAAAAATAATAATTATTTTTAGTTTTTCTAGTAAGCTTTTGTTTAATACACTATAATCTATCAGTGTTGTAAGTTTTGGCTTATAATGTCATAAAGAGGCTGAGAAAATGTTGTTTTCTTTTTTCATTGATTTTTTTGCATTTTATGCTGATTCAGCAAAAAAAAAAAGGAAATTATTTTTTTTTTATCATTTTTAATTATATTAATAAGTATGTTTCTTTTAAACTAACTTTGGTATATGATTAAGTTGGCAATCAAAAAATAATTTTTTTACCTGATAACCACCTTAAGTTCATATTATTAAAAAGTATGTTTATATTTTCATGTGACTGAAACAAGTTTGTGTCGTCTGCAAAATTAATAGTCTTTAAATTGGATACTTTGTTAAGATCATTTATATATATAATGAAAAGAAGTGGCCCAAGTATGGATCCTTGAGGGACACCATATGTTATGTTCATTAATGTTTGAGATTGGGAATCTTTATTAAAAACAAATTACTTTCGGTTGGAGAGATAACTTTTGAACCAACTTAGAGTTTTACCTGCTATGCCATTACATTCAAGTTTTTTAAGCAAAATATTATGATCGACCATGTCAAAAGCTTTTGACAGGTCAATGAAAACACCAAGTGTTCTCTTTTTTATGTTGGTGAATTGTGCATGTTGAAAATCTCGTAGATACGTGTTGAAAGTCACGCGTTATTTAAATTGTAATTAAAAGTATTCTCATGGGACTTTTTGTTATTTTATATATATAGAAACAATATTTGTATAGAATTAGTGAGGTTAAAAGAAAGCTATAAAATAATACGTTTTGTTTATTCAATTCATGGACGCGACGAACCAACAAGCTAGTTCGGCAATTATGCCACTGGTATTCGATGGCAACCATCAGCGGTTTGTCCGCCAACTACGAACATACATAACTGCGATGGACGTACCCGAATCCAAAAGGAAAACAATAATATTAACATGTTTGCCACCACAAATTTATTCTGCACTGGAAGATTTATGCTTGCCTGCATACCCAGAAGATGACTCAGTTACCTACAAAGACATCGAGGAAAACATCATGAAGCTTTTTAAACCGAAGTCATCGTTAATACTACGCTTTGAATTTGCAACTATAAAAAAAGCAAGTAACAAAAGTGTGACGGAATTTTTACGACGAATCGCAAGAGCTGCTGAAGGATGCAAATTCACGGATAGAGATGATCGAATGCGCGATTCATCACGGGTTTTAACGATGGTGTTACAATCAAACAATTATTACTGGAATCTGAAGAACTAACGTTTGCAAAGGCTGTAGAAGTTGCTGTTACCCTTGAACGAGTAACCCAGGAAGCTCGACAATTAGATGGTTCCGATAATGTAGTGATTGCGGCAACATTGTTACTTCCGCGGACATCTAGTGTGTCCGACACGAACAAAGTTACATGTTTCAATTGTGAAATGAATGGAATGAATGCGATTGAAAAATTTGGAGGAGTCATCATTTATGGTAATAAAAACCGTACTGTCCAAATGTTAGCACGTGACACAGCGAAATGTGGTGCCGTTACTACAACGATAAAAAACAAAAACGAAATAAACGAAATAAAATGTGATGTCAAAAATACAAATAAAGAAAACAAAAGAAACGAAATAAAATGTGCTGTTACTACAACAATAAAAAACAAAAACGAAATAAACGAAATAAAATGTGATGTCAAAAATACAAATGAAGAAAACAAAAGAAACGAAATAAAACATCAGGACTTCGCAGCAAATTTTGATGGGAAAAAGTGGACGGCATCATGGAACTGGAATAAAGAGCCTGTAATTGATAATACCATTTGTGAATACAAGATGAGCCACGAGTACGAACGTAGTTACCGCAAAGAAATAAATGAATGGAAAAGCTGTGCTTTATTGTGATGCATCATCCATAGGACTTGGGGTAGTTTTGCTCATTGGTGGAGTAGTTGTTAAAGATGCAGCATGGCTACGGCCAGCAAGTGACACACACCATATCAATATAAGTGAACTGGATTCGATACTTCGAGGACTAAACTTAGCTAGTAAGTGGGACATAAAAGAGTTAACAGTATACAGTGATAGCAAGAGCACCGTAGGATGGTTAAACACAGTTTTGAAGGAAGAATATCGCGTAAAAACTCGTGGAATTTCTTAGTTGTTAGTACAAAGACGGTTAAATACTATTAAGGAAGTGGCAAAAGGTATCCAGATTGTAGTACAATGGATTCCATCCGAAATAAATTTGGCTGATCGACTCTCACGAATCCCTCAAAAAAGGTGCAGAACAGTGTGTGCAGTTGGATTACCTGAACAAAAAGACATATGGAAAATTCATTCGATTGGTCACTTTGGTGTCGCTCGAACATTACAACTTTGCTTGCGAAATAACCAGTATGTATCACGTAAGGAGGTTTCAGCAGTAATAGCAAATTGTAACCAGTGCAACTCCATCGATCCTTACTCTGTACAGTGGAAGAATGGTCAACTAAGCGTAGAAAAAAATTGGAATCGGTTTGCCATTGACCTGACACATGTAGGTGCTGAACTGTACTTATCGATGATTGATTGTGGTCCATCACGATATACAATATGGCGTAAACTAACAACTAAAACAGCTGCTGAAGTTGTTGGTAAACTTGAAGAAATATTCTCTTTATTTGGACCGCCGGTATGTCTTCTAATGGACAACGAATTTCGGTTCAACACGTTAACAAGCTTTGCTGAAGAACGGAATGTTAATTTGGAATATCGAGCAGCACATCGAGCTCAAGGTAATATTTTACATTAACCAAAAAAACTTCTTGTGCTCTAATAACAACACTACAAGCAACTGTATCTCTTATGAATGAGAGATGTGTCTCGATAAAAATACTCATCTTGGGCAGATGTTACATGCATCCGGCTGCTGTCTTGTAGAAGGCCTCCTAGGCAAAGACTTAAGGGGTAAACAGATTCTATCTGTTGACCAGCCTCGCACCCCTTCGTCATCTATTAGGCTGGCGCAGAATTATTTTTAATACATTGTTTCCAGTTTAGGATGTTGAACGCTGGATCTTCTAGACTCGATTCATGGGTTTTGCTTGTGTCTCTGTTTTTATGACTAGGCAACTCATTCTATTATCTCTAAATGAGGGTACAGCTCTAAAACTCAGTTTTATGGTTCTGAGGCTGGCTGGTAGTCAGGTTTCCCGAACTCTGTGGTAGCTCTCAGAGAGGCTGATTCCATCAACAGCTGAAAAATATCAGAGTACTAACAGTGCCATGTTGCGCATGGATGGTGTCCCTGTTTGTACTTTTGGTGTGCATTGCCAAGGCCACATTGGAGCCCTTTGTTACGGCTTAGGGTTTATTAGTGGAAATGAGGCAATTGCTTGAGCTATAGAACAGTGTACTGAGTACTATCAATGTTTCGAGTCAAGTTCTTTAACAAATTTAAAAATGAATAAAGTAACAAAAACTATAAAACACAAAAAACCACAGTCATCACCAAGTTCGCTAAACCTATCATTCACCAATATTCGTGGTCTTCGAAGTAACTTTTCTTCTGTTGAGTCTTATCTCTTGCAAATTTCACCAGACCTGCTTGCTCTTTGTGAGACTAATTTGAGTTCAGCTGTCTCATCTTGTGATCTTAGTGTTGATAGTTATCTTCCTTTAATTCGTAAAGACAATAGTCACATGCTTGGCCTGGGCATTTACATTCGTAAGAATTCACCCATTTGTCGGGAAACTAGGTTTGAATCCACAGATTACTCTTTTATGTGCTTTCGTTTAGCACCACTTCACTCTATCACCTTTCTCTTGGTTCTATATCGCTCTCCCTCATCCCAAGACTGCCTTCTTCTTGATGTTATTTCTGATTATATTGACCAAGCCCTCATTCTTTATCCATCAGCCAATATTGTTGTTGTCGGTGACTTTAATGTTCTAAGAGCTCGAAAAGGATCTCACTTCTGATACAGCATGGGGCTCGCAGTGGCTGGTAAACTTTAATTCAGATAAAAATCAATTTTTTTCGACCAATCGTTATCGCAATAATTTAGACCTTCCTATATTTATTAACGGTAATGTACTCGATGAGTCTCCTACCCTTCATCTTCTAGGATTAACTCTTACTTCTGATCTTTCTTGGAGACCTTATATCAAATCCGTTGCAAAATTAGCATCTGCTAAAGTTGCATCTCTTTATCGAGCTCGTCACTTTCTGACTCTGGATTCTATTCTCTATCTCTATAAATCTTAAATCCGGCCTAGTATGGAATACTGTTGCCATATCTGGGGCGGATCTTCTAATGATGCCCTTTCTCTTTTAGAAAAGGTGCAAAAACGCATTCTAAACATAGTTGGACCTGCTCTTGCAGCCAACCTTCAACCTCTGTCACATCGTCGTAATGTTGCTTCTCTTTCTCTTTTCTACAAATACTATAATGGGCACTGCTCTAAAGAGCTAGCGTCTCTTGTGCCATCTACTAAAATTCATTCTCGTGTTACTCGTCATTCAATTAGGTCTCATCCTTTTTCTGTTACTGTTCCTAAGTGCTCCAAAAACTCTTATTCGTCTAGTTTTTTTTCCTCGAACATCAGTTCATTTGGAATTTGCTTCCTTCATCTTGCTTTCCGGATTCATATAATTTGCAATATTTTAAGTCGCCTGTCAATCGTTATCTTGCTCTACAATCTTCATCTTTTCTCTTCCAGTAACTTCCAACACTAATTAGTGGTTGCTTGCAACCTTGTTGGAAGCGAAGATAATTAAAAAAAAAAAAAAAGAAAATAAAAAGAATGATTTTCTTGAAGTAGGCTTTGCAGTTTTTCTTAGTTTCAATTTACAAAGGATCTTTTGGAGCTAGGTTTTAGTAAGTATAGTTAAATGACCAGTAGTAGACTTTTTGAGAGTCTTTTAGAAACAAAAGATTTTCGTAGATTTTCCCAAAAAATATTTATCAGAATTTTGATAATCGTTAAATAATATTATGCAAGATTTAGCTTAGCTGTCTACATAAATACTAGTGTCAGCTTTTTGAAAATAGCACGCTAAAGCAAGTAATAATGGTAAAAATTAAAAAAAAGGTTTTTTTAAGATTTTAGCTATACTCAAAACAATCCAAGTTGAACTCACCCAAAATATAACTTTTTTTTTCCTCTTGACTAGTTTTTTCTATTAGATTGTATTTCAAAAATTTACCAAGATTTTCTGTTCTTCCAGTTGGTGACCTGTAGCAACAGCTGATTAAAATGTTTTTAGAATTTTTGTTTATTAGTTCAATTGTTAAGATCTTTCAGAAACACTCATATTGCTTTTAACTTTTGGAAGAAAATATTTTCTTTTAAATAAAAAAGTACTCCTCCGCGCCTATTATTCTTTCGTTCTAAAAAAAAATTCTTTAAAACCTGGGAGAAGGAGATTAGAATTTGATTCAAAATATATTTCAATACACCGGTTACGCAATTCACGTTAAAACAATTTTTGGTTTCGTAAATTATATTTAAAAAATTTTCAATTTTTTTTTAAAACTTCTAACATTCACGTGAATGACATCAAAATAATCCACTCCTATAAAGTTACAAACTTCATTTGGTTGAAAATAAGAGCATACTAATTTAGGCAAATTAATTTCGTTAAAGTAATTTATGTCTGGATCGGATTCTTCATCCTATTTAAAATCATTAATTAGAAAAAATTTAAAAGCATTTACAAAATTATTTTTTTTTCGAATTCATTTTTTATTATTAATTGTTCTGTTGTAAATAACCGTGAATATACTTTGTTTTAGCGAATTTATCCGATGCTTGAGGATCTTTTACTTGACGGAAAAGTTGTTTTCGAATACTAGTTGTCCGCTCACTAAAATCTTCGTTTATACACATAGTTTCCTTCCACAATTTCTTTTTTTTGTATTTTTCGAGAATGTTTTCACGATCTTTAAAATTGAGAAACTTGACAACAATCGCTCACTTTCTACGTTTACCTTCTTCGTGTTCTTTTCTTCCAGCATGATGCGCTCTTTCAATTTGTATACCTACTTCTCCTACTTCGATCTTTTAATTTAGCAATTTTATTTTTTAGTGCTTTATTTAAATATATTTAATTTAGCTGACTGTGCATTTTTTTTAGTATTATTTAATGTTTCTTTTATCGTTTCGTATTGATTACTTACAAACTCAATAGTTTTATTTGTCTCATAAAGCTCACGCTTTAATATACATACATACATATTATTTAAAAACTTTGGCATATTTCGAATGAGGTATCTATGACAGCGTTAGAGTTTATTTAAGGGTATTGTTTTGTTTATTAAAAATTTTTTTAATAAGGTATACTGCTTTCTGATTATCTTGGGCTTGTTTATGCTAATAATACCTATTTGGTTTTATTTCTTAAAATAAATTGATTAATATTTTTATGTTTCTATTAGAATTTTAATTTATTTTGTTTTCATGTTTTCTTTTGGTGGTACGGTAAGTGTTTTATTTAGTTATTTTTATTTTTTTTTGTTCAGTAAATCTATACTTTTTATATCATATCATCAAGAAAAATATTGGTGCTTTACTAAATTTGGGGTTGGTTGGGTTTTGGCTATTTGTAGTGAGTCCTTTTTTACTGCAGTATGGAATAGGCGTAAGTCGCGGGGTAAAGCATAAGTGGCAATGACGTTTGTCTGACGGGATAAACTAGTTATAAATGCTGATCCTCATCGAAACGCCAGTAATAATAGACGCGACTCTGAGGAGATGTTTATTACTTATCACTACACTAATTACGTTTACAAATTAGCATTAATGTTTTTTTTCCATTATTAGTCCTTTCATTGTCGTTAGCATATTTTTAATTTGTTGAATAGTTTTTTGTTTTACAAATTTTTGACTGGTTATGTATTTCTTGTATATTTTAGTTCATATTGGTAATTATAAAACAATTTTTTTTTTATTTTTTATTTTATATATATATATATATTTTATTATTATTTGTTTTTAATTTTGTATTGTTATTATGGTTGAGTACTGTTTTGGTTGTATAGCTTGTCTTATTTATTTTTAAATATTCCTCTATTAATCTTTATTTTTATCTTGACAACTGTCAAAATATGCTTTGTCTAATAAATAATTCTCCTTTATTCTAATGTACTTCATTTCTTCCCTCAGGCGTTCACTGCTCGTGTGTGACCATTCGGCGAATTTTATATGCCAAAGTTTTTTAATTAATATACATACATACATATTAAAACGTGAAATATGAAGAGAAAGAGCATCTGACAAAAAACTTTTCTGCAAGATGTTCCTTCTCTTGATATTTCACATTTCTTGATTTTAAACTTCTCTCTTTGAATAGTTTGAATCCATAAGTCAAATAATTATAGTTACAAATTGTAAAAAGATATTAAAAAATCAGGAGCCCTCGATAAAAAAACTGCTCAAAAAATATATGGAAAGGTTAAATGGTTGCAGATTTGCTTATATAAGTATATATAAATGCTTTTTCATATATGGAATAATTGTATTTTTGCAACATAGGAGCAGAAAAAAACTGACGTTCTCAAAACAATCGGCATCGGCCGATAGTTATCAAGACCGATGCCGATGCATCGGCTAAATGGTCGATTCATCGGAAGGCCGATGCATTCATACTCTTTTGCCGTTTTCTGACCATTATGCCCCGCTGGGTAAGCAAAAACAGTAAAAAAAACTAAGGAAAAAATTATTAAAACACATAAGATTCACACAAGATATAAGACTTTTAGAAAATTTTAATGTTCGTAAAATATTACTTCAACAATATAAAACAACTTATACAAAAAAAATAATAAAGTTTCTTAAAAAACACATAAATAAACACAAAAAACGCAAAAAACATATTAATCACGTCGCGTCCATATTTTGCCAAACCTTATTATAGCAAAAAACCTTTATGAGCTACTTTAAAATTTCAGAAGGATTTTAACATTTACAAAACATTGGAAAAAAAAGATATTGGATATATTAAAAATATATAGCAATATATTACCTGAAACTAACAAACTTTCTATTCTGTGAAATACTACAGTGAAACACTATAGACAACTGACAAACTGTCTATTCCGTTAAATAATCTAGTTAACTTACAAATTTTCAGTTGCAATTTTCAGTTCATTGGATAACTTTTATGCCCAAAGATAATCTTTTTTTTATATTCTAATGTAATAATTTTACAAACTCTTGACTATCTGCAGATCGTAAATATCCTAGTAATTAAATCAACGTATAATCGATTCGAAACGACAATCAATAAATTTGCAAACATTTTTATGGACGCATGGTTATGCTCACGGACGTATCATTAAACTACTGTTTATAATAAGTGCGATGAGATTCAGTTTCACTGATCAGAGGTGATGAGGTAGGTGGAACAAATAATCCTCCAGCCGCAGCATGCTGTTGTTGCATCGCCATATATTGTGAAAACAACATTTGATTTATTTGTGGGTTCACCATAATGTCTTCGCCTCCAGATAATAAGACGGGGTTCATTGCATACAAACCATCACCAGTATAAACTTTGAAATAATATAAAATTAGGACACTGAATTATTATATTATTATTGAATAATATGCTAAATAAACTCAACGATAAAATAGATTTCCTCATTGAGTAAAAATATAGGTCGCAAAAATATTAAGTAAAATATTATTCGCTCTATTCCATTAAACCAACACATGGCTTTGTTTGTTTGTTTAATAATTAAACCAACAAATATAGGCATTTACTGTTTAAATGGAAGAGAGCAACTTATATATTATTGGTCAATATAATATCGAACATATGAGTAACTTATTAATATATAATACAATATATTATTATATAATAGTTCAAAACTTACGCCCACTGTGATTAGTACCAGCTACCATTGGAGAAATCACGTTTGAAATTGGTACAGACATATTGAGCGGCGATCCACTAACGTTAGTAGAAGGTCTTTGCTGAAGTTGTTGGAGATGCTGTTGTTGATGAAGTTGTGCTTGCATTTGGATTATTTGCTGTTCTAGCATTTGTATATTTGTATTTTGGACTATAAATATGGAAGATCAAGCAAAAATTATAATTTAAATAATAAACTATAGTTGCATAGCTGTTAAATAAAAAAGATACCTTGATTTTGATGAATAGCACCCAATTGGGAAGCATACATAGCTTGCTGCATGTAGGCTAAACAAACACAGAATAGTTTTATATCGTCTTCAATTAATTGGTAGTAATAATTTATAAAATAAAAACAACGCATTCACTTACTAAAAAAAAATTATAAAATACAACGAAAACAAAGGATTTATTTGCTTAAATAACTTATAAAATACAACGGATTTGTATATTCACTTCCTAAAAAAAGTAAAAAATCTTTCCTCTAGATTATCATAAAAGTGAAAAAACTGCTTTTTTCTTATATATAATCATTACTGTACTAAAACTAGGGATGTACCGAAGCTAAAATTTTGCCAAAGCCGAAGCTTCGGCACTATATATGCTTAAAATTTAATCAGCATTCAGATCAGCAGGGGTGTAAAACAAAAAAGGTTCCAAAACTAAGATCCTTGACTAATAATATAGAAAAAATGTAAAAAAATGAGGACACAAGTCAGGGTTGCTGCCCCAGGCAGGGCAAAAGCTCTCAGCGCCCCTGTTTGAAAGTTTTTCATTATGTCGTTTCTGATACTTCACCGCACCTAGTGTTTTTTTTTTTAACTTAAGCTTTTTTAAAACATTCTCCCCAAATTTTCCTACTTCTAATTCTACTTTTTCTGTGTGCAAACCATATTAATGTTATATAGTGCACAATATCAGTAACTCACATATATTTCCAACTATTCCCAATATTCTTCTAAGATTATTGCTATTTTTTTGATCTTTTATAGCCATACTGTTCTTCTATGTAAACATCGTTTCTCTTTAATCCTCTATCTAATCATCTAATTTTTAATCCTCTATTTAATCATCTTGTTTGCTCTATCTAATTATAGTGTGCTAGCTGAACATCCTCAAATTTTATTCCCCATAAATTACTGTTACGCATCTTTTCATGTGCTATATATTTTATTTTTATTTTTAATGCACCTTTTGTTAAGAGTGGATAAAAATCTCTGAATATTACTCAAGTAAATAAATCTTTTACACTTGAACACTCTTTCTCTAAGTAAACACTCTTAGCTGATCTAGTTGTATTTACAACATAAAAAATCTTACAAACACACTTTATCTTTTTATTGCTATTTATTTCAAGATCTTTTTTTTACTTCTCTGTATTCATTAAACGAACAATTTCTAAACTAAAAAAAACCCTAAGTTAAGACCATTTTGTATTCCACTACAACTGTTGTGAACCTGCTGCTAAAAAAAAGTACAATTGATAGATTTCTCTCTAACTTCTTTTTTACACACTTTTAAGTTGTTGTTGTTGTTTTTTTATTATTTTTAATTTTACACTACATAACATTTTCTTAAGCTTCTTTTAATCTTTTACACTCTGAAATTATAGTATTCATTCTTCTTCTGTCTCTGTAATGGATAAATCTGCATCAGTATCTGAAATCAAATATTAACTATCTGTGACAAAAACTTCTATAGTAATCTAACAACTCAGTAGAGTGAGCTTTAAATAAAATAATAAATAGAAAACTTTATAAATATTTTATTTATAATTATATTATTATTTACTTTATATTTATAAATAAACAGGGACTGAGCAGGCTGATGTTTCTTTGATTTAAATTGTTTATTTAATTTAAATAAATTTTGATGATAAATATAAGAGCTCAAAGTAATCAAAGCTTTAACCTTTAATTTATTTTAAATAAAATTTAAAAGTCTTCATATCATAAGAAGAAACCAGAATATAAGTTTATATGTTTAATATATAAATTCAATTTAGAAGTATTCATAATATTAATAAAAGAGCAAGGATAATTCTTATCATTGTTTTTCTTTTTCTTTTAATTTATATAGTTTTGGTTAATTTTTTTTTCTTTTTTTATTCTCCTCATTTATATTTCATTTGCATTTCTTCCTTTTTTGTTGTTGAGAACTTTATGTTTTTTATGTGTCACTCCATTGACTAGTTTGTAACTATATAAGTGACACCTTACCAATTTCTGTAATCTTACAATGAAAATTTGTAAATTTTTATTATTATGGTTAAATAAATTTGACATACACAGAATTTAAAATAGTAGCAACGTATCTTTAATCTTCTTTAAAGTGAGATTACTAAGGTTTATAGGTCAAATGTTGAAACCAATTTTTTTTCTATTTGCGGTAATCCCACACAAAAATTAATATAAATTCGTTACATAATACAAATTAAGGTTTTTTTTTCCATTTTATTTTTAAAAAGTTTTAATTTGTTTTAAATTATAAGGTTTTTATTCTGCATAAAAATGCTGATTCAGTTCATCTAAGTCACACTTGGAAGCCTTCAAAGTGTATGAAGACCTTCCTTAATTTTACTATTATATTCAAAATATTTCTACTTATTTATTATCATCCCCTCCATAACAAGACATTTGGGAGTAAATAATACTAAGTATATGGTATAGACTCCAACTTTAACTCTGTAGTCCTGAATTTACAACTTAATTAGACACTGGCAATTAGCATATTTTTATAACTTGTACAACAGTAGCTTATAACTTTAATTACTTAAAATTTTTTGCCGAAGCCAAAGATTCGGCAAAAATTTGACCTGGCTTCGGCCGAACCGAAGCTTCGGCAAAAATTTGACCTGGCTTCGGCATGCCGAAGCCGAAGCCAAAGCTTCGGTACATCCCTAACTAAAACCAACTTAATACTTTTAATCAAAATGCTTATGCAATATCCAATGACCAAATTATGGCAATTACAGCAAACATTTACTATAAACATATAAATGAAAATACTTACAAATAAGAGTCAAAGCCAGAATTTCTTACTTTGATTTATACAAAATAGATCAAAGTAAAATTTTTTACTCAGTACATTTAAAACTATCAGAGTTAACAATACTATTTAATATGTTTTAAATGATATGCATCTGAACACATTTATGATGTAATTTTGGCAATGTCCTTTTACCACTTTTCTGTTGTTTTTTTTTCTTACTGTATTTCAAACTCAAATCCACCGCAGCTACCAGCCAGACGACCAAAGGCTTCAGAGCTATTACAACTACATCCAGCCACTAAACTACTTAATTCAATCCTACATGATACAGCCTTGCAAAACATTTTTAATTTCAGGGCTACAATTATATTTATCATTTTAACTATGTAAGGTAGCCTACTGACCATAACAGTATAAACTTTTTAATTTTAAATTATGTAAAGCAAAGTCATAAATTCTAAACTATAGAAACATTGATAATTAAAAAAAATCTAAAGTAAGTGCAGTAGATCAAAGTTGAAATAAATTTATTTCTGAAACCTTATTTTTATTAAGGCCTATTTATTTACTTCTGAATCATACTAAATTTATTCTACATTAACTTACATTAACACTGAAATAATAATAAAAATAATGATTGGATTACAAAAAATGTTAATATTACAGTAAATATGCTAATATTTTCTGTAAATATTACAGAATTTTTAAAAGATTTTTTATTATAGGATTTTAAAAGATTTTTTATTAAGTTAATATAGAGTAAACAGAAAGTTTAAAATGTTACTTTATCATTTTAAAAACCTAAAGTTACAAAAAGGACTAACTCAAGCGCAACTGAGGTTTTGATGTTTAACCTTTTTTTTTATGTGCATATTATATATATGCGCATTGCACAGTGGGCCAGAATTCATTTTTACTGGACAAAATTTATAACTAATTTAATATTAGGGCTATAATCACTAAAATTAGCACGAGTACTAATATGATGTCTGCCCTTTTTATGAAGGTGCTTTTTTTTTATTTTGTTGCTATGGATACCTTTATTTTGCTCAGCAACAACCTATTTTTGGGATTTCTAGATATTTCACGAGTGCTATATTTACTAAAATTAGCATGGGTACTAATATGATGTCTGCACTTTTTATGAAGGTCTTTTTTTTAATTTTGTTGCTATGGATACCTTTATTTTGCTTAGCAACAAGCTATTTTTGGTATTTGTAGATACTTTACGAGTGCTATATTCACTAAATTTGTCATGACTACTAATATGATGTGTGCATTTTTTAAGAAGGTGCTATTTTTTTATTTTGTTGCTATGGATAATTATATTGCTTAGTTACAATATCCTTAGTTACAATAGGGTAAACAAAATGTCGTTATAACATCGTTAATTTGTAGCAATAAAAATATAGTAAACAGATAAGCAGAAAAAATGAAAACAGAAACACAATTCAAGTAACATTGCAGTAAAAATGTAATAATATAATATATTTACACAAAATCCTTAAGTGGTACTTCTTTTAGTAGCTCTAGCACTCCATCTACAAAGTCTTTCTTCTTTGGATGATGTGGTGTTCTCAAATTACTAATAATTGGATCAGATAAACACATCAATATCCTTAACAAGTCTTCATTTGTTTTAGAACGGGAGCACTTTTTTGAAAAAGACTCCCGGAACTTCTTGAAGTCCTTGTTACGTGCTTCACGTAAGAATCAATAACATATTGTGACAATAAAGTGCACAAAATAACATGCAACATCTTAATGATGATGACATCTAGTTGGAGAATTTCAGCAGTCTTCTCTGCATTTTGAAAAAATTGTCGAGCAGTATTGCCAGTGTTTGAAGATCCTGAACCACAAGTCCTTGGAAAATCAATTAAAAGCCCAACTTCATCACGAAGTTTCTTTTGAATTGATGTCTTTCTATCTTGAATTATTTTTTTTTCTGATGGTTCTCGTGTTGACCATTTCTATATTGTTAATTTGTAGCTTATTTTAAGAAGGCATTCCATAGTTCTGATCCATGCATGGAGAGTTGAAAGCCCATAATTAAGTCCAGTTTTAGTAATTGGGAGATTTTTTGCAGTATTTAAGTCATTCATTTTTTTTGGATTGCAACCACAAACTGAGCAGCATTGCGATGATTTTGTTGCTGTGGATAGTGCTGTGGCAACTTTCCCATCCACCATTGTAGTTTCAATTTTGCGCAGAACTGTTAATTTGTCATACTTTGTAGTAAATAATTTTTCTATTGAGTTTTTCTATTCGATGATTTTGTTGCTGTGGATAGTGCT